AGCAGAGTAACTGCTAGCAAGAGAAGATTGTCATCCTCTGTACAGATAACTACTAAAATAGTCTTAAGGCCCTTAGGCAGCAGATCAATCCACAGACCTGCCCTGAATGTCCTTTTCCCCCAGGCCAACTGATGATGCTTGGCTCATAATGGTTTGCCTTTTGGCTCTTCTGATATTCTGGTCTACTTCAGCCCCAGTCCTCATCCTTTCCAACTCCCTAGTCCTATACCTCGAGACAGGTTCTTGAACACCAATCTCTACAATTTTACCTAAGCCAATGAAGCCTTAAATGAAAAAGGAGCAGATCTTCCCTGTTCTCAGGAGGGTACCCCAAGAATGAGGCTAGAAAGTCACAGTCATGTCTTCCCCAGTCACAGACCAGGACGTGGCTCATTAGCTCACCCATGGATTTTGGGATGGGAATTGTGGCACCAGAGGACAGATATGTGATCACTGCCTTGTGGAGGATTGTAAGTATTTCTAGGAAGGGAAACTGGGACACAAATAGAAAGAGGTTTCAACATACCTAGGAGGAAAGGCTGAGTTCAAAAGATTTCCTTTCCCACTTTTCTCTTGTCATTCCAACTAGTGTCCTTCAAGTACAAGTTACCTGCTTCCTTCTCCCTTTTGCCTGAGCACTGTGATTCAGGAAGCAAGGATGGTGGAAGACAGATGCACCAATTTTTTAAAATGAAGGTGACCAGAAATGGGAAATGACAAAACAAGACACTTTTCTCTACCCAAAATCCTCCAAGCAGCCAAAACACTTTTTTTCTGAAAGGTTGCAAACAGTTGGCTTTTGATGAAAGTAGCGATAAAAAACCTTCAATAATATTTCAAGTAAGTGCAGAATCTATTTCCCCTGAAGCTTCTTTGTTTCAGAAGCAGTTCCTTCTCCAAAACATCTACAGGAAATGACATTTCAGTATGTGTACAGCACTGCAATAAAACAGCAACACACCCAGGAACATTTTTCAAGTTCACAGCAAGGCGAGCAGAAGATCAAGGTATTTAAAAAAATGACAAAGGTCTAGCAGAGGAGACAGTCAGCTTGCTCTCTTGCTATCTGCTTTGCTAATTCTCAGAGAGCCCCATTCGGCTTTTAAAACCTTGACCAGTCTTCTAGAGCCATCCCAGCTGCATCCAGCCAAGGAAATGTGCTTGAGTATAGAAAATTATGTTTCTTCCTGGCTTCTTCTGCAACAAGACTGCTCCTTGTCAGCTGTATGAACCATCCTCTCAACAGACAGAATCTTGCCATTCACAAGTTTGCCTGTTCTCCCAGCTTTATAATACCTCACATTTTTGTTGAGGGGGCCTTGGTCCTGCATGGAAATAAAGGCTTCCACACTTCATGTAAATATCTTCGCTAAGTTTAAGAACATACAGTATACCTTTGACTGTAGCATGAATAACAGTGTGGCAGAGTTTGGTTTCTTTTTCTAAGTCCCTGTATATGGAACTTCAGCGCCTGAGAGTTTGTGTTGTGGTGTGGGAGTCTCATCACCCATCAAGAAACTTCCAATAGGATGTTCTGTGATAAAATGATTTGCAGACCTGACACTGAAAACCACATTGTGCTGGTGGGAACTTCACTTCTGTCCAGGAGGAGAACTGTGAGAATTAACTTGTTTCTGTTCCTGCTAAGGTACACTGGTGTCCCCCACAGAGTGTAATCTCCCTGTTTTCTGAGATTATGCCTAGCCAAAGCCCATTTTTCATTCACAGTGCACATTCCTTACACCTCCTTAACACACCACCTCCCAGCAGAAGAGGTTGCTCAGATCAAACCCAATGGCTCATCTGGTGCTTCCCATTTGCACACAGATCACCCTACCCGTGATCTTCTCTACCTGCTCTGGCTGCTTTACGAAACACCTCATGGTGATCTCACAGAGACCAGCTGCGAGGCAAAGGCATGAAATGCACCCATCAAACCCATGACTCTTACCTTTGTTACCAAGTCAGCACCAAGGCAATGTCAGACTTTGGAGCCTTCTGCAAAGTCACTAGACGGACACCAAAACCAATGTACCCTAAAAACGTATAAACTCTACGAAACATGAACATCCTTTTGACCCTCTGCTTGTCAGTGACAATACAATAACAAAGATGGAGGATGGGGGACTTATGCTCAAACACCACAATTTGAGTATTGATGTGCTGAGAGGAGTCATATATAGTAAGCCTAATACTGAGGTCCTCCATCAAACAGATTTACACACTGTCTCACCTCATGCAATTACCAGGTGTCAGAAAATAACTTTTCCTATCACCTAAAAGGTTTTTTGCTCATTGACTGCTGAACTGTATTTTAAAACATTCATCTCTGAATAACTAAGCAGAGCTTTTAGTCTGATAAAGATATAGATATAAAATGTTAGCACTTGGAAATACCAAAAAAAAGGCAGCCTTTCAACCGTACATATCAGCTTCACTCTTTCTTTTTGTCCTCTCTCAGAGAAGAATCTCCCATTAATTTCAGAGGAAATTTCATCAGCTTAGGCCATGTGTTTTGACCCTTACCACTTTTGACATTTAAAATAATTGAATCCATTGTTGCAGCAAATAAGAGCCTAATAAAATACTTGTATTAGTATCTATTTTTTGATAATTACTGATGTTCTATGCAGGTGGGAAAGCTTGGGTGCATGCCTGTAGGACACTAATGGGAATGGTTTTTTCCAAGTGTCACATTTATCAGTGCACTAGAAGAAAATAAGCCTGTATTATGAAGTTTCATGCTGGCTCTCATTATGCCATCTCACAAGCTTGTCCTTTGATTTATTATAAAGATAAAATATATTTTCTCAGTGAGATCAGAGGTACTAGACAAGAGGTCATGCAAATGCTGACAGAAAAATGCTAGCTTTCCATGTGTCAAATCTTTTGTACTACACATCCAAGGTTCAACCAATGCTTCTTATTTGCTGGGGGGTCTTGTAGGGTGCTGGTGGATTCCTGTTCCCCATGGCTGGGGGTGATGGAAACTGTGGGGTCCCAGCTCTTGCACAGTCCAGAAGCAAATCTCTATCCCTGCCTTCTACAGGGTGCTCAGCAAATTTGACATCCTTGTCAATTTTGCTGCAGTTAATAGCAGGGGAGCTGACAGGAATACCAATTTTGCAGAGGAGCTTCAGGATACTGTTAACTTACTAGAAATAAAAATTTTCTAAAAAAAAAAGAGAAAGGTTTTGGATTCAACTGAGATCAAACCCAGTACTGTGACTGACAAATGTTCCTGGAGACCCAGCTCTTAAATTGGTTTTTCAGACACTGAACTCACTCTTACTAGGGGAGAAGATATGCTGGCATGTCTGGTAAAACTTCCTATTCCTCTGAGAAGAGAAAATATATGTTTTCAGTCTGGTTTTAATCACTGTGTACTTTCCAAGTATTTTGGTAATGGGGCAAATCTTAGCAATACTTTTTGTAATGCCCAGAGCGGACTATGGAACCATATCCCATCCAGCTTCAAACCAGTCAGTCTAACCACAGTCAGTAACCACAGCTCAGCCTCATCAGCTGGAGCTGCAGAAACCATAAAAATCAACAGCAGGCAAGATTTGGCCACCCATGGTACCTCCTGAACAGCCATGGTTATTCTCCTAGTTGTAACCAACCAAGGCAGCATGCTGAAACTAGATTCAAAGCAGTTGTCACCACAGTGTCCACATATCCCTAAGAGCTACATGGTTTTCATGGAAATCCTACTACACTACACTATGGTTATGACTGATGCAGAACATGAAAGGTAAGTCTTTTGTTTAGCAGAAAGATGTCATTTTTGGTGATAATAGATTCTCAGCTGTCAAGTCAAAAAATATGATCATCACTCAGAGGGATATAGCCATCTATTGCAGTTAATTAGTTTTTAGCTGACGAATCAGAAAGCAGCCTAAAGAGCACACAGTAAAGAACTCATTCAGGTACAAACTCTGAAAACACTTATTCTGCATTTAAACTCATTCAAGAATTCACACTTAGTTCAATAAGATTTCTCACCCCATTGTGGGCCACTTTCAGGAGTACTGGATTTGGGGTGCCACAGATACACCCAAGTAGTGCCTAAAACCTTCCACTGAGCAATACACAGGGCAGAAAAGCAACTGATTGTAACTCAAGCCTCTTCTGACACTTGAAGGAGCAAGACACTGCTTTCTTTCTAGTTCTAGTGAAAACTATAAGAAATCTGGAGAAACTCCATGTTTTCTCACAGATAATCCAGGCTAAAGACTTGCAGAACCAAATGTAGCAATTATTGGCCATCATGTAAGAACAAGGAAAATAAAACTTCCAAATAGATTGCAGAGCTTTCACCACATGCAACAATGCCTACATCTGGTATTCTTGCTCAAACCAATTTGCATTTTAAATCCATTTTTTTTTCAGTTTCCTATTTTTATTTAATAAAAAAGGGTCTTGGACTAGAAGTGCAAGAAAGCAGTGGCAAAAGGAGGAGTGTGGCAGGAACTGAGATTCGGTTTTCTCAATAAAAAAGGGACACATCATTCCTGCCCAATGGAATGAATAATTTCTGGTTATGCAAGTTACTCAACACAATGTCAACTTCTTTATCCCGGATTTTTCTCACTCCTTTATTAGCACTCACAGGAGATTAAATGTGGCTAAATCAACCACTAGCATTATCTTTTCACACTGCTTTTTCCTTTATTCATAATCTCCTGAATCAATATTCAAAGATTTCTTCTGGGTTAGGCTCTAGCTCTAGTAGCAGAACCTGAAAATGGCGCTTTGGTGGGCTGCTGCTTTAATTGCAGCGCACCCAATGTGTCATTTTGACGTTTTTAAAGAAAATGGCAGGTGAGGTTTTTAAAGAAAAAGTTTGTAACAAAGTTAATGATCTTAGAATCTGATGAATCTCTCCAAGCCAAGCTTCAAGAGTTGAAATACATATAAACTGAGGCTGTATTACAAATTTTCAGCCTTGATAAGCAAAAAGTTCCCGATTAATAAACTGACCCCAACGCGACTGTTACCTGCTGAAGTGTGCTTAAATTTTTCACTCTTCTTCTTCCTCCATTTCCATGGCTTAAAAAGTCTCCCAAGAGTGGCAAATTTGCTCCTTCTTCTGATTGGAGGTGTGTGAGTCCCAGGTACTAGAGAATCTGAACGCATTGCAGCCAGTCTTTCCACCTCTTCAGCTGTAATTTCGGCAAGAGAAAAACACAAGGAAGGTGGGAAGTGAAATAAATGCTTTAATAAGTTATCAGAAAACCACACAGATGGCCAAAATTTTTCATGGACACAGAGAAGAGTAACAAAGGGAAAAAGTTGTAGTCCTTCTTATTTTAACATTATTTTCTTTTCTTTTAGTGAAATCGTTAATCTACTGTAAAGAAGAGTAGTGGCAACAAGATTCAACAGGAATATGGGTTATTATATTATAAAAGTTATGGCTTTTAACAAATTGTTCTACATTGCTCTAGACAGCTGGCAGTTCAGCTATCAGCCATTCCTGGGGAAGTGTGACAGAGAATGGGGAAAAGAAAGCTCAAAAACCCCAATGAAATATAATTTAAAATAAATATTACAAGGGTTTGGTTTTTTGGGGTTTTTGGGTTTTTTAATTGCAATGGAAGGAAACATTTAATTTTACTAATATTTATTAAGAGCAAGGACTCTGATAAATAATGACCCTTTGGTACCATTACTGTGCCCACTAAAATTGCTTGGGTTACAAAAAGGGGCTATATTAGAACTTCCTAGTGAGAGAGGACTAGTGTACTAAAAAAACCATAAAATCATAGAATTGTTTGGGATGAAAAAGACCTCTAAGGTCAGATCCAGCTGTTAACCCAGCACTACCAAGTCCACTCTAAACCACATCCTCAAGCGCCAGATTTACACATCTTTTAAACTCTTCTGAAGATGGTGACTGCACCACTTCCCTGGCACCCTGTTTCAATGCTTTACAACCCTTTCCATGAATAAATTTGTCCTAATATGCAATCTAAAAGCTCCCTGGTGTTACTTGAGGCCATTTCCTCTAGTCCTACCACTGGTTACCTGGGAGAAGAGGCTGACCTCCATCTTCCTTTTAGGTAGTTCTAGAGACCTATAAGGTCCCCCTGAGCCTCGTTTTCTCCTCAGAATCTCTCCTGCCTCAGATACTCATGATAAGACCTATGCTCCAGAACCTTTACCAGCCCTTCTCCAGTACCCCAGTGTCTTTATTGTAGTGTGCCTTTCTTTCAAGTCTAGTCCCATTTTTCTGCCCACTCACTGCCCTCCAATTCTTATGCTCAGCTTTTAACATTTAAACTTTTAATTTTAGATTTTAATACAGTTCCCACTTAGGGCCGAATTCCCTTGAAGGGGATGGAGTGTTTCACTGAGCTTCTGTTTGTAACATTTCAGTTATCTGCAATCTTTACCCTGTAATACATCATGATAGTCTCAATACTGAAAAAAACCCGCACCAACAGAGGGAAGGTACCAGCAATATGAGAGGTTGTCTCTGTGCCACAGCTGTATAGCTCAGTCAGAATGCAAGCAGGGCTTTGTGTAGTTTGTTGTTCCTATTTTTGTTTGTTTGTTTTTTTAAAGTCGTTGTTGGTGTGTGGTTTTTTTTTTTGGTTTTGTTTTTTTTTGGTTTTGTTTTTTTGTTTTTGTTTTTTTTAAGGGATACCATTTCCCAGACATGTGCTGTCATGTGACACTGCCACTAACACTGATTTGAGTGGTTTGCACACACAGTCTGGATCCATAAAGACAGGATGCAGATTGTCACCTCTCCTGCTCCGAAGACAACAGCCCAGTGTTTCTATTCACCTCTCATATTTTAAATATTAACCTCAGGCATGAGCTTGAGCTCAGGAACTCAGCAAGAACATTGCTTTGAAGGGATGAGCACGCCCACTCCACACTGACAGATCCACCAGAGATTTTGGCTGGCAAATTCTTATGTATCTCAATGGAAATTTTTTCAAGGCTTTAAGTGAGCCAAATTTAGGTTGGTTTTCATGGGAACAGCTAGAGACGCATTTCTAACACAAAGGAGGTTTCATTATTAGAACTCCAACTGAACTACTATTTGAGTCCCTCAGGTTTTTGCAAGAAGGTTGGTTATTATGTTATTGCTCTTCTGTTTGTTTTGAATGTTAACATGCAACACAATCCTTTTTCCTGTAAAATATGAATGCCAGATACAGCTGCCTGTAACTTTCCAAAGAAGAAAAAGCTAGCTAGCAAGATAGGGCGAGCCCAGATATTTCAGTGGAAATGGTTAAAAACTGCTGTTCTTTGGGGTAATAAAGACAAAGACAGACCTTTCTGAGAACATCTCTTTTCAATTTAAAGCAGAGGGAATAAAAGATAATCTGGCCAAAGCATTTCATTCTGTTCCAGCTCTTTGTGCCTGACTGCCTGGAGAAATACCTTCTTATCCAAAGAACCCATTACAAGGCTCTGTTCTGTACAGGGGCTGGGACATGCTGTATCAAGGCTGGGAATTGCCTGGTTATGCTGAATAAACTATATGGGTAAAAAGAACAGGAAATCAGAAATTTCCTAATACTTTCTGACTTCACTGAAACCTGCTGGGCCTTGAAGACCAGCAGAGGGTACAGACCACCGCCCTCTATATGCAGATCCAAAGGGACCACTCCATTTCCCCTTCCTCCATTTTTGAGATGCCTCTAGTTCAAGCACCTAAGATCCCACTGTGTTGCACTGCTGTGATTTTTTAGAGATGCTGCTAAGAGCAGCATCTCTAGATGCCATCTAAGATGCCATCTAGATGCCATCTAAGAGCAATGGGCTGGTATTGTCTTTGGTGTCTTACTTAGGGGATACAGGAAGTGGCCCCTTGAGCAATGGGAATGACATACTACTGCTGCTGCTGAACTAGGCTTCCTGCTAATAGACCTACAGCTGAAACATACTGAAATTCCTCTTGCTGCTCACCCTCTCTCCTTTTCACCATCACTGAGCCAAGATTTCTGCTACCCAGGTGCCTTTGTTATGAAATCTCTGAGCTGCAACAACTTCTCTTTGCTAGCTGGTTCTAACTGGTATTGCTGAGGCCATTTCCTGGAGAACTGACACCCCTTAAAGACACTCTCCTTTCACAACACAACTCTGTCTCATACCAGCTGTGCTCTCACTGCCCCTGGGGAAGCTTTTTCCACTCAGGGTAAATGACTATGGATTTACAGTCAGGCAAAACTAACACTGGAGTCAAAAAGAATTTACCCAGAGGGTGGGTTCACTGAAAGCCAAACACAGTGTCAAAACCATTTCCATATTTTGACTGCTCTTCCCTGAATTTCAGTATTGTCTTACACACAAATCTGTGGCCTCAGAGTCCTGCAGTGCCTGGCATCAGACATGAAAGTGTCCCTTCTCCTTCATCCTCTCAAAACACACACACAGCTCCAAGCTAATGCAAGTAACCGCTCTTTTTCCTTCTCATTTGCATTTCTCAGAAGGACATGATTTTTTTCATGAGAAATGCTCTCAAGAGCACTGCTAATTCAAAGCATAATAATCACTGGCTAGGAATAAACCACATTAGCATAAAGCCATGACAGTTTTAATACAGCAAGAATAAAAGCAGACCATGATGCAAGAAGCAAATGCCAAAATTCCGCGCTCTTCTTTGCTGCTGCATCTTTTGCTCAAGTTGGCTGGGTTTCTCTGCTTTTTGGCTCATAATAACTATTGACTGGCTGTGGGCTGCGACACCCACTGCTGACAGCAGGCTCCGTAGGCTGATTTCACACCTTTGCTGTTCCCAAAAAAGCTGGTACTTGCAGGAATGGAAAGTAACCCAGACCTTGCACTCTTTTTCTATTTTTTTTTGTCTTCAAAGAGGAAAGCAGTTCCAGCAGTCCCAGCCTGACCAGTCTGCTGAACTGGAAGAGGGAGCTGCCGTGTGCATTAGTACCTGTAGTCACACTTCGGAGATCTCATCTTGATGCTGGTGCCACAAATGTGATGCTTACGGGTCACGGGTGCTGCTGATACTCAGTGATTTTGGGAACTTGTTCTGATTTTTTTCCCAGGATATGAGAGATCTTTCTGAGACACAAAGAAATACTGGGACCTGCTCCTATGGCAAGAGGGTGATGCACTCCCCTCCCACTTTCTTCTGTCCAACCTGTCATTTCAGAGCTAGCAATGGGGAAACTAAACTTGAGAGTTTTTCATAGGCTGTTTGGCTGTGAGACAGCTCCCAAGATTTTATTGTAGCTCTTAATAATCCTGAAGTTCATATAGACTTTATATAGGGCTTAAGCAAGACTTGGGGTTTTAATGAAAAAAACCCACCACAAACGAAAGTTCTTTGCATCCAAGTAATATTAAAAAAAAATTACATGTTTGAAATACATTACAAAGAAAAGAAGAGGCCAGGCCATCTTGAACCTGTTCTGTATGTTCTTATGATTTTCCCACATCTTTCAGTAGGGTGTTGATTTCCAGAAAGTCCAGTAAGAGACAACATAGCGGTCACCTACTTTTTGAATTTGAGAAGCACAGCACGCAGATCAAAAGCCCTCCCACAGACAATACAACTTATGAAGTTTTCCTGGAGAATGACAGCCAGTTTTGTCATTCCCACCACTGTCTGGGAATCACTTTATTAATGTTGCTGATATGTAATACCACAATCTCCAGCTTCCATTTTAGAACAAAAACCCACTATTTACAGCATTTGGGTACAAAGAGCTATTTCATTGCTGAAGGCTGAAGCCCACCCATCCCACTGGTGGTCTTTAACATCACACCAAGTTCTCTCTGAGACCTTTTTTTAACACTCATTTTTCATAATCAGACACATGATTATCTTAATCAAAAGGAAATTTACTTCACAAAGCTAGATTTTAATTTTTCCTAGGAAGCTCCAGTGGCTACTTTGTGCTTTCTGTTACATTTGCACAAATCTGTAGTAACAGGCTGAAAATTATCTTGGCCCTAAAGATACAATTAACTAAATGTGTCATATTATTCAATGACAAGAACTCTATATAAATAAAACCCCCTAATATAATGCTACTCATTCCCAACCCACATCCAACCAGTCTTTATTCTGCAGATAAGTTTCCAACAAACTCCTGTTCTTTTGAACATGCACCCCAAATATCCTTCACTTCAGACTGCATGGACCTTATTCTAGCAGCTTTGTTCAACACAAGATGCA